TGGGATGAACAGTAGCATAATTCTGCGCTAGCTTTTGCATTGACCTAGTAACATCGTCTTTTTAACTTTCATTTATATTTTAGATAAGTGAAACTGTATCGCTTCTGTAAAATGATGAATACATGTCATTCATATTAAAACTTGGGCTACCAAAAAACATACATCTCTCTCTGTAGGATAAATTTTCTGTCATTTGGTTTGTTTTCAATCGATTAAGATATGACCCCAAATGGTATTATCTGCTCTTGTGTGTATTTAAAATGTTTTTTGCAAGCTTCATACAAAACCTGAGGAATGGCATGTTTGTGGGTGGAAACGTTTTGCAACACACTGACCTAACTGTTCTTCAGTTCTGTCATTTGGTCTCAAAATGTACTTCTGAACATTGTACAATTAGCTTTCAACTAGATCGATATCGTGGATGGATTTCTTGAAGGAAACAAAGCAGATATATATAACATAATGGAATGGTTTTTGCTTCAGCTTAGAGAATATTGTGTCACATGAAGGATATACTGTGAATTAATGATTTGTGATGAGAGCTGTCTCCAAGCCAAAATTTTAGACACCAATTTATGTCAATGTTTACATCCCATGTCTTGGTCAGGAGAAAAAACAAGAACATAGACTAATTCAACAGCTAATGACGGCAGACTTTGCGTGGATGGATATGATTCACAGATATATCAATGGACTGTCTAAGAAACGGCAACAAGAGGTAACAGAATAACCTTCAGCAGAAAAACAACCAATCAGAAGACCTACCTCTTCTGGTAATAGTAATGAACAATGATGTAAATATAAATCTATAAATATCTGTTGATTTTCTGAATAAACGATCTGTTGTTACAATTTTACTTGAAAATATTGTAAGAGGAGAAGATATCATACAATAAACTGCTTTGAAAATTCTTTATATTTTATATTAATAACAATCTACTTTATTCCAAAAACAGTACTTATAATCGGCTTCTCAGCATTTGTCACAATACTGCATCTGATATAGATAAAATTTAAAATTAACCAGAAAAATTTGTCTACATTTACAGTATAAAGTCAAAAATATTCGAAATTTAGCATTTTACAGATTATTGAATCTAATGTTCTGTTGATATGGTGTGCTGATAGGAAAGACGAAAAATAACAGTTATAACACAGCTAAAATGATTATATATGTCCAAACCAAGTTCACTTTTAACGGTTTGAAAAAATTAGGGCATTGGGTATATGAAATTCATTATAATAGAGGTTTTTGTATTTCCCAATGAATGCAAAACAAAACGATATTGTTGTTTTTACTGACGTTTCGCTATTTAATGCTAATAGCTTTCTCAAAGTATTAATAAACCGGAATTTACAAAATCTCAGCATATATATAACAAAGAGTTAGGGGGTGAGAAAAATATAGACTTAGTTCAGCTTAAAAGGACATATTGAAAGTCAAAATAACAATGAAGATCGTTCAAACCAAATATCAAAGGTAATAGTATATCTGTTATGATGTCAAAACAAAGTTTACTAACTTTATCGTCGTTCGTTAGCCTGGGGTCATTTTTGGTTGTCAAGTTGGAGAATAGGTAAAGATAACAAAATCAAGTGTGGGTTGTTGGATTTTATCAGTGTGTAGAATTATGAAAGTAGTATGTGTTTACATAGTGTACTTGCTTATCACATTTGTGTTGATTTTGCTACTTCATGGGGGAGGGGGTGTTGTAGCCAGGTCAGATTCTGTTTTAGTCCATCATTCCTATTTGGGCAATTCGGATTCCACGTGATATGAAGTGCTTCTGATATTAGACGTTCTTTGTGGTTTTTGAAGTTTTTCTGGATTATGATGTTCACACTTTTGAGAAAATAAACGAATAAAAACAAAAATTGAGAGGATTGTAAATATAAGAAGTACAGTAACATTAAAGCTTGGCGGAATAAGGATGTTCCTGGTGCTTTTTTAGGTTTTTGAATCTTGATTGCCTTCAGGACTTCTGTAGGGTCGATGTCCACTGGTAGTTCCGCTGTTGGTAATACTGAGCGCGTCATAGGTCGCGGTTGATTCAGAATTCTTTTGAAGTGTTCAGCCCAGTGTTTCCTTTGTCCCACCTCTTTGGTGATTTGCTTCCCATTGTCATCCTTCACTGGATAAATTTGTGTTGAACTTTTCCCTGATAGGAACCTAGTTGTTTGGTGGAGTGTAGCGAGGTCTCTTTTGCCTGCGGCTTGTTCCGTTTCACTTGCCATAGTTTCATAATGTGTCCTTTTCTTTTACCTGGCACTCGTCTTTACACTTTTGTTCAGTTTATTGTAGTTTAAATTCAAATCCTGTTTTGTTGCTCATCGATGTACCGCATAATTTTTTGTTTCACCATCCTTCTCTCTTCTATCAGTCTCCATGTGTCTGTACTGAGCTACTGTTCGTCTTGTCTCTTCTTTATGCCTAGAACATCCATGCAGGTTTGAGTCCACACCGCTTTCAAGCTGTTTCATTGCTATTCAAAGCTAGTCTCTTCGCTAATGTTGATGTGTTTCTCCGCCTTTTTCCTTATGATTGCAGTGAAGATGTCCTTTGTAGCCTGGTCCTTCAGTTTTTGAGCATTGAATGTGGCTTGTGGTCTATCTGCAGCCCCTGTTTCCTTAAAGGCCTTTAATTTGATTTTGAGTGTTCATTGTATAAGATAGTTGTCTGAACCAACGTCTGCTCCCCTTCTTACTTTTGTGTCAAGTAAACTGCGTTTTCACTTGCTTGAGCAGTACTCAAATGAAGTAAATTTGGTTTTTGATTTGCCTGTTTGGTAATACACATTTAGCAATGTGGATATCCTTGTGCTAGGAATTCATTTGGACACCTCCATTTTATCCTGTTTACTGCGGTCTTTCTCGACTAACTCCACGATCACCCATCAGTTTTCATTCTCGCCTCAGTAACATCGTAGAGCTTTTATATCAGTGCTTCTACATGAATTGTATTCGATGGTCTGGTGCTTAATGTCATCCAATAGTTTCTTCAGAATGCGTTCAGTCTATCTTCATTCTCTCATGCTTGTTTGTTGGCTAGTAGGCCTTTGGTTATTTTATCGGCAGAGTTGCTTGTTCCTTATCCCTATTTACTGGCCGTCTGATCTTCAGCTTCTACAATGATATATATATATATGTTTATGTACGTAGAATACTCTAGAATAGTCGTCATTAGCAATATTGATGTTTTTAAATAGTATCGAACTATAGTTCAAGAAGTTATAATAAGCATATAAATGTAATAGTACATAGAATATAAAATAAAATTAATGATATTTCCACAGCGAACTGAGGATCATTAAAACTTTAATAGCCAAGATAAGGATAGTGTCTGAACCAACTTTTTTTGGATACATAATTAAGGTTCCTTGGTGGGTCACAAATAATATTTCCAACAGCCTGTTGCAGACCTTTATCAACAACAACTGTCTTCGCTCTATACCAAAGATCAGATGGCCGCGCCGGAAAAAATCACCAACAAGAAACGACGGGAACAAACAAGACAAGAACCAATCGCCAACCAACAAATATGCAGGAGGAAGTGGAGATGGATTGGACACTCACTCGCTGAGGAGGCCGCTGGGTGACATTGCGCGTGCGTCAGGCCATTGGTCGAGTGGAACCTGAAAGGGAAGTGGCGAGTGGGTCGTCAGTGCAAGGGTGATATGGAGAAGATCGTGTGAAGAGGAGTTGAGATAGTATGGACTAACATGGATGCAGGTGAAAAGCACAGCCAAAGACAGAAGCAAGTGAAGACGTGCAGCTGAAGCTCTATGTTCCACTAGGAACCCAAGGGAACAATAATAATAATTTAGGTTCCTAAATGTGTATCCTAACGGCCAGCCTCATCAATATGTAGTAGAGAAGCTCTTAAGGTGAAGTCAAGATTAGTTAGTATAGGATAGATTTCTTTGAAAGCCTTGTTAATATCAATTTTGTGTTTTCAATCCACGCGATGAGATAGAATAGAGCTATGAATAGATTTCGTTCTTCCCTTACTTTCCCACTATGCAGGATGATGTTCGGAAATGTGATAAGAAAAACGCCTAATTATACCACTACCTACGTAACTAGCTCCACAGGGGCAGTTAAATAGGCGAATACACATGGAAGAGATGAAATAAGGAATTTTATCTTACACTTCTGAACGCAAATGTCTGGATGAACAGCATTGTTGTTGGTAACATCTTGATAGGCACCTCCTTGGTGTGTTCATGATTGTCGTTTGAGTAACCGGAACAGATTCCGGAATCTTCAATTTAAACTGTAAAGAGTTCACTTCAATTTTATCTGCTGTCAAAGATCGAAGAATTTCTATAATTTGTCTTCGCAAATCTTTTGAAATCTGAGCTGCTTTTCAAGCTTCAAAAAACTTTCATCGAAAGTGAAAACACAGCTGACTATTGTCCCTAGGATTTTCACCAGCTCACATCATTTCATTTCTTCAATTCCAGCCAAGAAATAAATTTCTTTTTTATAGACTTTACTGTGCTTCGAATTTCCCGTATCGATTAGGTTGATTTTTCGTGAGTTAGGCTCCCAAGTGTCGCACCCAACCTTCTCTCTTTCTCTAATCTTAAGACCAATCAGTTATCTAACCCAGCTTATTGATGAATGCATTTCATTGTGATGTTCATTATTGAAAATCAAGTAGAATGGAACACTCTAAATGTGAACTACAAAATTTCTATCTCATTTTTACTTGTCAGTGTCAATCTAAAGCTTTCTGAAGAGGATTATGTCATGTGTTTACATACCTTATAGATACATATATAAGGCCTGATAGCCTACTTAAACCATACACATATTACCTGCTTTAATTAGAACAAATTCTGATCAATTTATCGAAGGCTAAGAAGTAGAAACAAAAATATTCAGTGGGGAGTTTTGTCGATGCATTATTTAGTGGATCTTTGTACATCTCTCTGACATATCCATCCTATTCCAATGATACTGATGGCATTTAATTGAACAGTCTGATCTCAGTAACTATGCAAAGTCTAATCTATCTATCATTATTCTTAGCATTTCATCTTACCTATGTTACTTCATCAAGTGAACAGGACATAGCAGCAGCTAAATGGAGATTTGATGAATTTGAATTACACATTAGTATTCTAACCTTTTTAATCGCTGTAATACTAATTAAAATCGCTTTCCACTACACACCATATCTACCTGAGTATATACCAGAATCATTATTACTTATAATTGTCGGAATTATATTCGGCGCTTTTATACGTTATGCACTTGACAATGGTTCAGTGAAAGTTATTGTTTGGCGGTTAACACCGAAATACTTTTTCCTATATCTGCTACCACCGATTGTACTTGAATCAGCTTATGGATTGTACAACAGAATATTTAGTGAATATCTTGGTACTGTATTGTTATTCGCTGTCCTAGGCACTGTATTCAATTTTCTCTTGATTGGTTTTATTCTCTATGGTTTGTATGCAGGCGGTGCATTTGGTTATCCAGAAATCACCTTGGATTTAAAAAGTTTCCTACTGTTCAGTTCATTGATTGTTGCTGTGGATCCTGTCGCTGTATTGGCTATCTTTCATGATATTGGCTTAGAAATGAATCTATACTATATTGTATTTGGTGAATCACTGTTGAATGATGCCATCACAATTGTTCTCTATGAAATTATGGTTGAATTTACTGGGAAGAAAGAAGTCACTGGTGGGCAAATCGGCATTGGGATAGCATCATTCTTCACTGTGAGTTTAGGTGGTCTTCTGATTGGAGTTGTCTTTGGCATAGTGACTTGTTTAATAACACGAATACCTAGCCATCTTCAAACAATGACAGTATTACTCCTTGCCTACTTCTCTTACATAATGGCAGATTGTATTGGTTGGTCAGGGATTATATCAATGATTGGTTGTGGATTGATTCAAGCTGCATATGCTTTCCATAATATAGACAGACGATCAGTAATAACTATAGAGAATTTTGTCAAAGTTATCGCTGAACTCAGTGAGTCTGTAGTCTTTGTATTTCTCGGCGTAACTGTTATCAGTGAAATACTTAAATGGCATACTGGTTATGCTCTATGGTCAATGGTGATTTGTTTAATAGCCCGTGGGATTGTTGTTCTAGTACTGACAGCTATTCTGAACGCTGTCAGTGTTGATGAGACAAAAATTAGTCTAACAGAACAAGCAATTCTTATCTACGGTGGATTAAGAGGTGGTGTTTCACTTTGTTTAGCTCTTCAAATTCCTAATGAAATATTAGGCGAAAAAGGGGCAGACAATCAAAATATCATTGTTACTACAACAATATTTATTATTCTATTCACAGTTGGTTTAATGGGGACTACAATTAAACCGTTAGTGAAAGCGTTAAAAATACGTATGGAAGAAGAAAAAACGCTTAGTTTATTTGCTCAGTTGAATGAAAATATATTAGATGAAACACTGTCTGGCATAGAAGCGATAGCCAATTGTAAACGACGCAATACTGTCCGAGAATTTTTTATGCGTATTGATGAAAAGTATATTCGTCGTATACTACAACGTGATCCTGAACGTTATGATGAAAAAATATTGAAATTATATGAGAAAATCTCTTTACGCCTGCATTATGCTAAAATTCGACCAAATGAAATGGAGAATTTTCTTACTGATTTACCCGATGGAATACGATATATTTATATGACAAGAGGATTTATACCTCATAATGACAATATTGGTCATAGTAGTTTCGTTGGAAATGATATACTCATTGATGATCTTGATGAACCTGTAGAATCACAAAAGATGCCAAAATGTTGTCAAGTGAAGACGACAAAATGTCATTGGAAATGTAAGCGAAAATCTACTCCTCCCAATGATCTTGGAGAAGATGGTGTTACCAATAATCTTAAAAGCTTGAAAGCGATAAATCTACCACCCAGAAAGAAGACATTAATATCGTCATTGAACAATCGAACTAAAGAACAGTCAATCGATAATATTTTAAGATATTCTAGACGAGCAACACTATTACCATATTTTAGAAGAGAAGCAGATTTCAATGATCGATTTTTAGATATTTTAAGATCACGTAATCGTGAACTTCAGTTAAGGTTACGAGGTGAAAGGACAGAGAAATCGATAGCACCATCATCGACTTCTTCTTCTTCTCATTCGACAACTTCACAAGAGTCAGCGGTTATAATAAAACCAGCTATAACAGTCAGGCAAACACTTTCGACATCATCACCATCACCACCACCACCACCAACAACAACAACCAGAAATATACCATCTGTTGAAGGAGACACTCCTCTGACATCCGTCAGACAAAAAGTGTATCAGCCATCAGATTCTGTGATAAGCGAAGTGGAAGAAGAAGAAGGCGGGAATGGCCAACAAAACCGTTCACAAACGATACATGATTTACGAAAATATGATCAAAGACGAGTGCATTACACATAGCCAACATTCATCTCTAACATTTTCATGCTGCAGAGAACTAAAATCTTCAATCCGTTGTGATTTATGTTCCTCTTGGAGCATGTTAGTTATTTTTTTGCCTAACGAAACAAGAAAATAACAAAGCTATCAATATTGTTATTACTATTTCCTATATTATAATTGATTTTTATGCAACTTCTGTCTTTTTTTGGGGTATTATTATTGTTCCGATGAATATAAGTATATATATTGATTAAAGATGTTCATTAGAAAGTACAAAAGATTGATTATTGAACAAAGAGTATTCTTTTCAATAACCCCTTGTTTACCAGGTTACGCAGTTATATATATTCATAATAATGATAAAAGAACGATTTTATACTGACAACATTAGTGTTTTTTGTAGAGAATGATATCGTAACCTCGACATCAGAATTCCAAAAGTTATTCGCAAATAGAATTTTAATAAATCATAATGTGGTAATATGTAAAATTGTAATACTAAATTGAACACCACTATTACTAAGTAAATTATCATGAATGGCAACGAATAAGAATGCCATAGCTGTTTACCTCTCCAGTACAAGAAAACTTTAATTAGGACCCTCAGCTACAAGGAAAAGAAGCTAAAATCCCTCAAAAATAGAGTTGAAGACAGGTGACAGCTCAAGTTCAACATTCAAAAAACTGAAGGACAAAACCATAAGGGATGCTTTCAATGCACATCAGATTAGAGGGAAGTTGGAGACACAACCTGGCATCACTGAGGAGACCAGAGTGGAAGAATATGAGAACTGACTCTCTGAAAGTTATGCTCAAGGAAACTTGTACAACTGTTCTAGGAAGAAATAAGAGACAGGACAAGGAATAGCTTACAACAGACACATACCTGAAAGCTAATAGAAGAGAGGAAGAAGGTGAAACAGGAGATGACTGAATGCAAAGATGGGCAACAGAAGGAGAAGCTGAGTTCAATATACACTGCACTGAATAAATAAGTGACTAAGGGTGTTAGGATAGACAAAAGACAATTCTAAAACACACTGACTGGCAACTGAAGCAGAACAGGCAGGGTGTAAGTAGAGGAGATCTTAGGACACTTTATCAGATAATCTGGTGTCTGTTTGGGAAGAAATCAAGCCGCGTGATGAAATTAATAAAAGATGCTCAAGGCAACCTGATTACCAAAGAGGAGAAACAAACCAAACACTGAGCTGGTCACTTCAAACAACTCTTTAATCGAACATTACCTGCAACACGCCCGGTAATACCACTAACAACACACACGGAAATGCCACTGGACACCGATCCTCCAACGAAAGCGGAAATTCTGAATGCTATCATGCTACTGAAGTCTGGAAAGGCAGTAGCGCCAGACTGATTTCCTCTAAAACGGCAATAAAGGACCCAGAAACTGAAAAATTGCTTAAAAAAGAATCTCTGACAACCGGGAATCGTGAGCAAAACTTTCGCGTAGGCTGCAAGCATTCTGTCATTGAGTCACCAGAAAAATTCTTTCTCCGAAAGGCCTCATTAGCTCTGACAGAATTAGAAAGCTCAAAAGAATAAAACTTTCTAATAGATCTGGACGGTTTTGTCTCTCGACAAACAACTTGTTTTTTTTCTAATCAGGAAGAAGACATAGCTGGCGAAGTACCTCTTGATACCTGACTATTGACTAATGGATGTATCCATTGCACAACATTTCTTTAAGGCCATGAAACACTTCCATTGAATGCAGGTGATACAAAAAGATAAATACCCTTTGAAAAGATGTGCCTTCCGTTCAGTATCTCATGCTAGACGGAGTAACATGGTAGGTCAAAATGAGGTTACTTTGACTGCATTATCAAATCGATGAAAATCAGTCAATGACTTTTTAGACTCCAGTTGATTGAGACAACTAGGACAGGCTTGACGCTTGTCGAATAACCCTCTCCCTTGCAAATTAACTGTGTGTGAGATTGAACTGAACAAGAAACAGTTAGAGATGATAAAATACCTGGATATAGCATTGATTTTAAAAGTTTTTACTTCTGGATTGAGCTGCATGCAGAATTTCTGGTTAGGATACTTTGAATGTAAATCATCGAAAATTGAAAATTGCGCTTCATCGTCACTAAATCACCTAGAGCATAGAATTTGAAAATTTCTGATAGTCTGCATGCAGTAATTTTCCCTGGTGTACGTCATCGTCAATTGTAGTTTCTTTGAGGTACGAAAAAACAACAAAGTGATATTGTTTTTCAAGTGTTTATCTATAGGGATTTGATTGACTGGTTAAAGGATTTCATTATGGGCTGACATTGGATAGAGAACCATTGGAAAAACAGCTGGGAGTACTGAACAGCTGTTCCCACTGTCCTGGTTCAGGACTGCTCAGTAGTAAGCAGCCACCACAGGGCTCGGAGAAGAGTCCCAAATTAGGACTCAACAGCTGTTCAATACTCCCAGCTGGTTTATCGATGGTTCTCTAGCCAATGTCAGCTCATGATGAAATCCTGACTTTGTTTTTATTTTATTGGTTCTGATCAATTTCAAGGGTAAAATGCTCACCATCCATGACGCATGATCCAGGATTCGACTCCCGGCCGACGCACTTATATGCCTCACTTAGCCAGTAAAGGTCGCGGTAAAGATCAAAAATTAGGCGTGAGACTAGTAACCCAACACAGAAAAAATACATTGTTGAAACGTCGAACCTCAAGCTTGAAGCCCTTTGTTCTGCTCGAAACTCAAAAAGAAACATCAAAGTTTGCATTCTGAGATGAAGAGTCTTTTTGAGGAGCTATTGACTTCCGAATTATTCGAGTACCAGAACACTTAATTTCCAAAATTTCTTGCAGTTTCCCTTATCTGTAAATTGCATATTTTACTTGTTGAATCCGTGTCTGCATTTGTCTAAATTATTATTATATCCTTTAATTCCTAGGGAAACATAGGACTTCAGCTGCGCGTCTCCATTGCCTTCTGTTTTCTGCCAACTTTTTCACCCCACTCCGAGTCTGCCCACATGCTATCATCTCCTCTTCACTTGACCTCATCCAAGTCACCCCACCGTGGGACGACCAACTCGCCGCTTCCCATTCTGTCGGGTTCCACTCGAGCAACGGCTTGTCTAGTCATGTCACTCACTTGATGGTTTCCTCAGAGTATGGCCAGCCAATCCATCTCCATTTCTTCCTGCCTATTTGTTTCACAATCGGTTCCTGCTGTGTTGGTTCGCTCATTGCCAGAGATCCATCACTGTTGCTGATCTTTTCTGGCCGGCCACCTGATCTTGAGTGGTATTGAGCGAAGACAACTGTAATATGATGAAGGTCTGAAGTTTGTTTGAGATGCTCTTCATGACGCGCAGTGCAAGTCTCTGATCCAATCGTATAGTAGCACTGACTGACTTCACATTGGAGTTGAAGATCCAGATCTTAGTTTCGATGCTGAGGGCTGTTGACCTCCACACAGACCTAAGACTAATGAAAGCTTGTCTTGCTTGCCCAATCCTTGCTTTGATATCCTTGTCAGTTCCCTTGGCCTTTAGTTGAAATGATGCTTCTGAGGTGGGTAGGTAAAGGAGGTTGTTTCTTTCAGGTTCCTCCTATTTATGCTCACCGGTGTCTGTTGTTATTATTGTTGTTGTTGGCCAGGAATCTTCATCACCACATCTGGTTTCTCTATGTTCGCCTGAAGTACTATCTTCTCTGGGTGCTTCTTCTGCCAACTTGTTGCTTTTCACTTGCATATCTTCCAGTTTGTGGGAAATCAGACACCCATATCATCGGCGAAGTTCAGATCCTCCAAGTATTTTGTGTGGGTCCGTTTTGTGCCTGTTTACTGATTGCCCATTTTATGTCGCATTATAGAATCTACTTCAATCAGGGAGATCACTGGTGATAGTATACAGCCTTGCCTCACTCCCATCCTCACATCGTAGGTTTCCGTAAGTTTCCCGTTGTGGATTACTTGGCATGCAGCATTGTCCTATAACTGTTTGATGAGATGTATAATTGTCGATGACACCCCACAGTAGTAGCGAAGTAGTTGCCAAATGACCACTCGATCGACGCTGTCGTAGGCCTTTTCAAAGTCAATGAAGTTTAGATAGAGAGGTGACTTTCATTCCAAGCTTTGTTCACTGACGATTAGTAGAGTGACGATTTGATCAATAGATGACTTGTTTCTCCTGAATCCAGCTTGTTCTGGTCGAACTTTAGCATCCAAGGGGACGTGTTTGATTCTCTTCAGGATGATGCAGCTTAGTATTTTGCTTGGTCTGGACAGTAGCATAATTCCGCGCCAGTTTCTGTATTTACTTCAATCTCCTTTCTTTGGTAGTTCGAATAAGTATCCTTTCTTTTAATCCTCGGGCAACTAGCCCTCTTTCCACACCCTCTTCAGCAATGGCGTCTAAATGCATTGATATAAAAAAATGATTGTCTCACCTTTAAACAGATAGTTTATGTTAAGGGATGTAAAAATAAGACGAAAATACACTTCCAACAATAAAATGATTTCATAGTTGATAGAAATCACCTTGTAGATGATCTTGGAGTTTGCTTATCTTTTGCTGATAACGTAATAGAATTTTTTGGTTAGTTTTTGGGTGACACCTGTTTCAAAGAATTTCCATGTCCTGTTAAATATTCTGTATCTGCTCTGTTTCTAGCCTCTTGGATTCTGAGTGGAACATGAGGCCGCAATAGCATACCTCCGTTATGTCCTGTTCTTGGGACTACTCTTCAGATGACTCTACAACTTCCAATAGGCTCTCATCTCTTCCTAATGCTATATTCTCCAAGTCGCCCTTGCACCGAATTCATACTCATCGCTTCGCATTTGAATCCCACTCGAGGGCCTGTCACGCGATATCATTCGATGACCTCCTCAACCTATGCCCGATCGATCTATCTCCATTTTCTCCTACATATTTGTTGAGCGATCGGCTACTAGTTGGTGTTTTGTCCCAGTTACTTGTTGCCAATTCTTTCCATCCACTTAAACTTGAATTACAGTGGTCTGTCTCC